TTTGGGCTCCTCTGACAGCCCTAGCATCTGGCTGTTCAACAAAACTTGCCAGTGTAGACAAGCACTCTGAATCATAATGGCGATAACTTAACGTTTCATTGAGATGAATGCGATAGTTCATCCTTTGAGGTGTTTAAGGCTGTCTGTTAGCAGACTCTGAAAGACAACACTGCCTGGGTTTGCATTTGTTTTACAGTGTGGAAGTTTTCTTCTCTAATACATGGCTAGAAGCTTGAATTATCTTTTTAATTAAATAGCTTATTTTTAGGGCTGTCAAGCAATTAAAAAATTAATTGTGATTAATTGTGTGATTCAACAATAATAGAATACCATTTATTCAAATATTTTTGGATGTTTTCTACATTTTCAAATATATTTCAATTACAACACAGAATACAAAGTGTACAATGGTCACTTCATATTTTTTATTATAAATATTTGTACTGTAAAAATAAAAGAAATAGTATTTTTCAATTAACTTAATACAAGTATCGTAGTGCAATCTCTTTATCATGAAAGTTGAACTTACAAATGTAGAATTATGTCCAAAAAACTGTTTTATTTTTGAATGCAGTTAATGTAAAACTTTAGCGCCTACAAGTCCACTTAGTCCTACTTCAGCTAATTACTCAGACAAGCAAGTTTGGTTACAATTTGCAGGAGATAATGCTGCTCGTTTCTTGTTTACAATGTCACCTGAAAGTGAGAACAGGTGTTCACATTGCACTGTTGTAGCTGGCGTCACAAGATATTTACTTGCCAGATGCGGTAAAGATTCATATGTCCCTTCATGCTTCAACCACCATTCTAGAGGACATGTGTCCATGCTGAGGACAGGTTCTGCTCAATAGTGATCCAAAGCAGTGCAGACTGACGCATGTTCATTTCATCATCTGAGTCAGATGATACCAGCAGAAGGTTGATTTTCTTTTTTGGTGGTTCGGATTCTTTAGTTTCCGTATCTGAGTGTTGCTCTTTTAAGACTTCTGAAAGCATGCTCCACACCTTGTCCCTCTCAGATTTTGAACGGCACTTCAGATTCTTAAACCTTGGGTCGAGTGCTGTAGTGGTTTTTTAGAAATCTCACATTGGTATCTTCTTTGCGTTATGTCAAATCTGCCGTGAAAGTTCTTAAAATGAACATGTGCTGGATCATCATCCGAGACCTGTTATAACATGAAATATATGGCAGAATGCGGGTAAAACAGAACAGGTGACATACAATACTCCCCCAAGGAGTTCAGACACCAATTTAATTAATGCATTATTTTTTTTAACAAGCATCATCAGCATGGAAGCATGTCCTCTGGAATGGTGGCCCCAGCATGAAGAGGCATATGAATGTTTAGGATATCTGGCACATGAATACCTTACAACACCGACTACAAAAGTGCCATGCAAAGGTCTGTTCTCACTTTCAGGTGACATTGTAAATAAGAAGCAGGCAGCGGTATCTCCCGTAAGTGTAAACAAACTTGTTTGCCTTAGCGATTGGCTGAACAAGAAGTAGGACTGAGTGGACTTGTAGGCTCTAAAGTTTTACATTGTTTTCTTTTGAGTGCAGTTTGTGTAACAAAAAAATCTACATTTGTAAGTTGCACTCTCATGATAGAGATTGCACTAGCACTTGTATGAGGTGAATTGAAAAATACTGTTTTTGTTTATCACTTTTAGAGTGCAAATATCTGTAATAAAAATAATATAAAGTGAGCACTGTACACTTTGTATTCTGCATTGCAGGAAAAATCAATATATTTGAAAATGTAAAAAAAAAATCCGAAAATATTTAATAAATTTCAATTGGTATTCTATTGTTTAATAGTGTGATTAATCACGGTTATTTTTTTTAACCACGATTAATTTTTTTGAGTTAATCCCGTGAGTTAACTGTGATTAATTGACAGCCCTACTTATTTTTGCTACTTAACTCTGCCAATCTGCATTTATTCTCCAGCTGTGGAATTGCAGTAGGTGCAGGGCTCTGGTTATAATACGCATGAATAGAGGGATTGAAATTGAGCACAGGAACATAGGAGTAGTGTGTTTCTGGATTCTTTCTGAACAAGGAAAGCTTGCTGAATAGTCTCTCTGTTTTGTCACTCTTTGTTGGTTCACCTCTGCCCTTCACTAAGTCTGGACCCTCCTTTGCTTTTCACCCGCATGAGCATACCTGGTGTTTTGATCATGCACATTTTCTGCTCTCCAAGTGAACTCTATTGGTGTCCTGAGTCAATGGCTAAGTCAGCTTTGGAACCCTGAGCTACTGTTGGTTTTATCCCTATGCCCTAGCATGCTGAGAGCGTCCTGGGTTTTTAATTTATCTTATATTTTGATGTTATTCTCTTCCAACAGTTCCTGTTTTAAAAGTATTTTTACTATGACATATTGGCAGTGTTTCAAGATGAAAAATGAGCTTCAGAAGAAAAGATGATATAGGTCTGGAATCTATTATATGTATCTTAAAACTAGGAAGCTCTCCAAACGGTGAATCTTGCTCTGTACCTGGCTAGCTCTTGTCTGAGCAAGTGCGTTTCAAGCAGGCCCAGTGAAGGAATGAAGTATGTAGGAATGTTTGCTGGCTGCTCACATACTTTCGCTTGTCCAATTACTTGCGTAAATTAAATGGCTGCAGTGTGAGCTTCCTTAAAATTGCATAAGCAAGTACGTCAGTGCAAGCATGTCCTTTAGGGATCCAGTCTAGGCTGTGGAAAGCCACCATATTGTGGTACCCAAGTATAACACCGTAGATCTCAGTATGCTTAAAACCCAGTTTAATTCTGTGGTGTAGATAATACTGAATAGTGTTTTATCCACACTCCATGATCTGAACCGCACCAGGTGTTCAGCATTGCTTGGGAGCCTGGTTCAGTTCTGCCTACACTACAGGACCACGCTGTGTTTTAATCAAGTCAGGCGCTCCTGTTTTGTAACTGGGTCACACAGTGTGGTTGTGTTGCCAGTATGTAGCCAATTGATTTTGACTATACTTGTGATTGGATATTAAAAATGTTCGAGACCAAATAACCACTCTCAACCAATTGTCTAAATTCAGAATAATACAGTACAAAAAGGAGACACATACCCTCCTTCCAGGAAGCAATTCTTATCTCACAGCATGTTTACCGTACATAGTAGGTGTGCTTTGGAAATATGCAGTTAAACTAGTTATATTTATAGTGTGGTTTTAGAAGTTACAAAACTCTCTATTTCTCACTAAAATCCAACCCACCAGTTTGTAACAGTTCCTTAACTTGCCATTTTGTTCTGTACTTCTTTTATCTCTGTTTTGGATATTACATTTCAAACCAGTTGCCCGTGAAGGTCCCTGTACTAGGACAGAGAACAAATGTATCTTGACTTTTGACAGATTTCATATCAGCTAGAGCCAAAGCTGACTTCAGCTTTGCAAAGTGTTAGGGATATTTAGCAAAGGGGAACAGAATTGTGGGGAGAGCTTAATACATTCAATTAACATAACCTCACAAAACTTATATATTATGTTACCACCATGGACATTATACCCATTAATGGAGCGTATACTACACCTACCATATATGTGTAGGCTAACAGTTTGCTTTACACAGTGTAGGCAGGATATTAAACTGCCCATGTTGGTGTTGGAACTTGGGGTGCTGCTACACGTCCTGGCTTGAGGTGGTTTCCGTCATATACATTGTTTATGGTTTGGGTCAATGGCTCTCAGCAACCCCACTATACAAATTGTTCTAGCACCCCTGCCCGTAGTCCTATTTAACAGGTCCTTATACATCCTCCTCGTTCGGATAAGTGACCTCATAGTTCTTTTCTCAGGCAGATTTGGGCTGTATTTTCATGGGTTTTCTTTATTGTATACCTCAGCTCGCATATTATCATATATATAAAATTTACATATATGTTTACAGTTGTATAGTCTGAGCAGTACTGTATTGCCTATTTCTTTGGTGCTACATTTGTCTCCATTAGAAAAGATTAAATCCAAATCAACCCCTGTCCTATTGGTCACAGTAGCAAACTATGTAAACCAAAGCAGGAAGACAGAAGGCTGAAAGGATATGGCTACACTAGAGAGCTTTCGGCGGCGTAGCTGCACCGATGCAGAGCACTCTCCCGCCAACTTAATTAATCTACCCCCAACAAGTGGCGGCAGCCATGTCTTCAGGAGAAGCTTTTCCGCCGACATAGCGCTGTCCATACCAGCATGTAGGTCGGTGTAACTTGTCGGTTGGGGATGGCTAATTCACACCCCAGGCGACGTAACTCATGTCGACTTAAGCTGTAGTGTAGCCATAGCCAAAACTTGCTGTCTGCCCTTCTCCATGATCAGCTGAAGACCCCAAACTGCAGAGAGATGCTGCAACCTTGGAGGAAGCCTTCCTATTCTTGGCAAGATCACACTGGAAATAGTGTCAGCTCAGAAGGAAAATGAACTGTAACACTAAATCCCTGGAATTTCCCAGGGAAAGGATAATTCTTCTAAACACACAGGGCCTGTCTTGGGTTTCGGCTTTATAGTACAAGAGTGGGAATCCATCAATACAGTACTTTCCCTTCCCTCCTACAGACCCTTAGGCCGTGTCAACACTATGGGGGTTGTAATGGCACAACTATAGTGCTGCATGTATGTCGCTGTAGCACTGCAGTGTAGACGCTTCCTACAATGACAGAAGGGGTTTTGCTGTCTCTGTGTAAGAAATCCACCTTGCTAAGCAGCAGTAGCTGGGTTGATAGAAGAATTCTTCTGTCCACTGAGCTGCGTCTATGCTGGGGGCTTGGTTGGCTTAATTGTGGTGCTGAAGGTGTGAATTTTTCACACCTCTGAGTGATGTAGCTGGGTCAATCTAAATTTAAAGTGTAGACTAGGCCTCCATCATGCTCTAGTGTCTCTCCCCGTAATCCAGTTAATTTCTCTAAAGTAAACTGGGAAGCAGAGCACCAGCACCTTCAGTAGGGCTCTAATAAGGAGAGCAGCAATAAAACACGTTCATATTTCACTTTAACAGGATACATTTAAGATCCAGACACAGAGAGCCTCTCTGGATGTTTACCTGGCTGATGGAAGGAATGTTAGGCTTGATATCCAGACATCGGACACTGCTGAAAGAGTACTAGAGGTAATGGGTTTCTAAATGGAATACTGCTGAAACTTGTAAATTTAAGGAAAAGTGTGTGAAGAGTTGAGATGCTTTCCCTCATATTTTAGCAGGACATTGGCAAAAATGCCTATTTGAGGGAATATGTGAAAAAAACGTACACTTGGCATTGTTTACTAATTCTGTAGATAAGTTTCTTAAAGTTTTTATATTAATCAGTTTGTTTTTTTCTCTGCCCCTAACCTCACCCACTCAACATCCCTGCAGGTCTTTTCATCTCCAAAGGCAGCTGTTTTGGCCCTGTGGACAGGAGGCCATCTAAGATGATTAGAGAATTGGTGTTTTGTTTTTGAAAAAGCTTGTTTTAATATAGTTCAGGCCAAATCTGCATAAACATTGTGTTGCCAGCCAGTGTTTTACATTTGGCTTAAATATAGTTTAAGACTGTTGGTGTGCTAACACACCTATTGTTACTATCCTAGCACATAGGAGCTCTAGTTATGGATCTGGACCCCATTGTGCCTGGCGCTGTACAGACACAGAACAAAAGGAACAGAGGTTCCTGCCTCTCTAGTAGGAGTCTACAATCTACGTATGTCGCTGACCAATGCCCACTCTTTTTTTTTTCCTGGTGCTCCCTCTTTCTATCCGTCTTGTATCTACCTGTTGTCCATAGTAAGTATGTAGACCTTTTAGGATAAAGAGTTCTCTTTTTGTTCAGTGCCTAGCACAATGGGGCTGAGGTGTCTAGATTTTGCCACCATACCACTAGTAAATAGTTACAAGTTTGGTCTTGCACACGCTAGCAGCCAAACTTTGTTTAAACAGAGAGAGTCTGAACTGGATTGTAACATCTTTTTTTTTTTTAATTCAAAGATGACAATAGGCCTGCTATAGATAGGGTGGCTTGAGTTGCTGGCCTGTAATCTTTTTTTCTCTTCTTGGTAACAGAAGCCAAACTACTGTCATCTGCCTGATTTCTATTTTCTCATCCCCTTCACATTGTGAGCTTCATCCTCCAACATTCTCTAGCCAGAGATGGAGAGTGTGTAACAATATGGATGGTACTTCCCCAGTAGCCACTGTCGCTGCTGCAGGGGACACAGAGAGCCAGACTGCGTGAGGTTGGTGAGCAGTTGTACACCAGTACTCCCATTGACCTCAGTGGGATTATTTGTGCACGTAACTGCTCACCATCCTGAGCAAAGAATTCATGCAGTCTGGCTTTCAGGTGCTACTCTGTCTAATGAAGTCTCTCCACCATCTTCGCCACACATATTATCATTGCCTCTAATATCCCTGTTCATCATGGGTCCAAGAATTGAGAGCACGAAATCTCTTCTCCAAGCAAAGTCCCTGATATAGCACAGAGAACTGCCCAAATACTGGCCAGATCATGTTTCTTAAGTAAAGCACTCTGCAGCTGAGCAGCTGCTTTGCCTTGTGTAAAGATTTCTCTCACTTTAGTTTCTTTTCATTAACAGCTAGTTTGGCCCAGTGGTTCAGCCTGGCCACACAACACCATTCTAGCAGTTCTGTATCATTTGAGTGAAATGAATTCTACACGGCCTCCTACAATGATTTCCCCTACCCCTTTGAACAGCATCGTGTTCAAGTTTGTTAAGCCTCTTTCTACCTTTGGAGCTTTTCACTGCTTAGTTGCCAAAAAAAAAGGCGAACAAGAAAACCAGTTAATACAAAAAGCACATACCCTTCAGATTTATATCAGCATGACGGTAGCTTCCTGCTTTGTCACTGGCATCTTCAATCCCATCTCTCCATAAAAATATCTTGCTATCTAAGCACTCGTGCTTATTGTTCTGATGCCCTTGTCTGTCCTGTTTAAGGGCCAGATCCTCTTCAGGCTGGTGCCACTCTTTCTGCGATAGTACTTTGGGTACACTTCACAATAAAGTGCCATGTACACTTATGTCACTATAGGCAAACAGCAATGATTCTGATAATTCATTGACACTGTAAATGCTGCCTGTTCTTTGGTTCCCTTTAGTGTGGGACAGGCTTAGGGGCATGTGTGAGCTTTCCTCATTATATATTTGTCTCACCACATTCCCCCAGTAGCTTCCCAATTACTAGTATACAGTCCACAGTGGTTTGGAGTAATGTATACTGGGGTATGCCTTGATTCAAGAATTAGAAAATTAAGCTCAATACTGACTGAGTGTTTCACATTGGGTATCTCTGAGAAGTGTGTTGAATAGAAGCAGGTGCTTCATTTGGATCACTGTGAGATGCTGTACTAAGTGATGAGTTTCTGACACTCTGTAGTGCCGCCTTGCAATTTCAGGTAGCAAGTTAATGGGATTTTGGTTCAAGAACATATGAGGTGAAAGTTAGTCCTGGTCAGGGTCTTTTTTGCCTGGCCCTCTGAACATTTATTCTAGTGCTCTAAATGAGGGTTGGGGGAAGTGATTTTATGCTCCAGCTGTCTCTCAACTGGAAGTGTTTGTGGAATTGGTACCTTCTAAAGGCACTCTGAAAACTTGTACTTCCACCTTGTGTTCAGACCAAACAAGTTCTGCTTCTCCCACTGTGTTTCTTATGCCAACTCACACACCCAGCAACTGGACTATGGAGAAATCGTTTTCCTGGTGAAAGCTTTTCCATGTCCTTGCCTCTCCACAGTTGCATCTCAATGACTTCCTGATCAAATGGGCTGCTCATAAGTAAAAGGGACACCTTTTTTTACTCTTTTCCCTGTGAGTCCAGGAGGTTCTGTGGTACCCATCGAGTGCGGGAATGGTGGGGGTAGGCTTTGGCAGCTTTAAGTTAAGCTCTGATTTCCAATGCCTGAAGCAGAAAATAGGCAGAGTGGAGTGTTTTCAGCTCCTCTTCCATCCTACACTTTCCATTCCTCTCCCTGCCCCACCCCTTCCTCGTCACATGTCCTGCACTTGAGGTTGGGGGGCAGGGCTGGCACAGGGCTGTTCCTACATTCTTTGCCAGTGGAGCTGGGGGCCATTCCCCCTTTAAGGCCCCTTTATGCCACCCAAATGATGTAAAGGGGCCATAGCAAAACGGAATCTGCTTCTGAGAGTCAAGCTGGGTAGGTCTTTCTTTCTCATGTGTTGCCATTAGCAAGACTGTGGAGGGTTGAAATTTAGATCTTAACAGCTGCTTCTGCCTAGAGGGATAAAGGAACAGTTTAAAAAAAACAATTTTGAAGCTGCATTAATGGCCAGTGACCAGACCTTGTATAAATTCATGTTCGGCTGTATAGGTGACCTTCTTTTTCATTCTTTGTTTTTAAGGTTGTCTCATACAAGATGGGGCTGTCAAGAGAATTAATAGGATATTTTAGCTTATTTTTTATTCAAGATCACAGCAATGGAGTTCTCTCTGGTAAGCCATATGCAGTATGTGTCACATAACGCACCCTTGGGTGGGTCATTGCCAGTGGGGATCGGACCTCTGGATCTAAAAGCATGAATCTATGATGCTTGAGCTAAAAGACCCATTTCTGTTAGCTCAAAGGCTGGAAGTTCGTCAATTTCTATATGTAGCCCAGCAATCATGAGGGGCACAGAGGATCACAGGTGGGTTGGGGTTATCTATAGCATAGTGGACTTTTGCCTATAAGCACAGTTTGCATTGCATTTAATTTACAAGGCATATAGTAACTTGGTAACTATTGTGTGGGTTGTTTTGGTAAATATTGAGCGAGGTTGGCTTTATTTCAGGCTTCTCTGCATATGGTTATACTTTGAAATAAAAACTGTTTATATAATCTCAAACTCAGATCTGAACAGTTGGAAGATTTCCCCCTCTATCCCCTTTATAAAATGAAGTCCCTAATTTGCTTTCATTTATGCCCTCATATTCCACTCTTTCACTTTTTAATTGATAAACGTAGAAAGGTCATAACAGTGATGGAACTAGATGTGCCCTAAATCTAGGGTGTGATTCTCTGTGCTCACAAAATGTAGAAGTCTCTTGGAGTACTGTGTTTTTTGTCCAATATGGGTTGGTGATACATATATGCCTTCTACCCCTCCCTCCGTTTGGGCAGCTGTAATCTAGTGGACTGAACCCAGGACTGGGACTCAAATCTGGGTTGAAATCTTGGCCCCATTGAAGTAAGTGGTGAAACTCTTGTTGACTTCAGTGGGGTCAGGATTTCACCCTTGAATTTGATACCTGACTCTGTTAGTGATTCTGTGTGGCCTTGGACAAGTCACTTAACCTCTTTCTGCCTCAGTTTTCCAGACTGCAAAATAGTGATGATGATACTCTCCTGAAAGTATTTTCAGGTCCATAGACAAAAAAAGTGCTGTAGAAGTACCTTTTACAGTGTTGTACCAATAAAATAAAAACCAGCAGGATCTTATTAAAGGGAAAAAGGCAAAATACCACATTTATTGTGAATACAGAAAGAATCATAGTAAGCAGTTAGTTCTAGTTATTCCATTCAATCTCATATTTATTCACACATTCATTCACACACACACACACACACACACACACACACACACACACACACACACACAGGTTCTGCAAGGTTGTTATCATAGTTACCAGCCTTAGAGTTGCTCATGCCAAGCCACTGGCCAGGTGGCCTGGACATGAGGAGGGAGCAGGGCCTTGTCAGATGCTCATCTGATGCTCCTGGAAGTTGGTTTGCAGAATCAGACCCCCCCAAAGTTCTCACTTTTTAGAGTCTATTTTTATAGGAATTTCTTCCTATGCCAGTCTATGGGAATTGCTTCATCATGCTGTTGCTGAATCAATCAGCAGATAGCACATTCCTGACGGCTCCAAGATGTTATCTTGTTCTTTGGTTCTCCCATCCTTGAGGCTGTTGGGTGGATTCCAGTCTGCCCTCCGAGGGGTCCTCTGGTTATTTCCACTTGACGCCTTCTTCAGCCGATGGACACTGGATTCTTAGGCTGGCACCTCCCTGATCATTCAGTTATTATTCACACCAAGCATCCATCCACATACATCCTCTATCTCTATTTTAATCACAATTGTTAATACAACAAAAGGGCGGGGAGTCTCTGGGTGCTGTTTCTGTTGTTAGAGTATTGCTTTGAGTCTCTCTCTGTGTGAATTGCTTTGAGAATAGACTCTGTCTTAGAATGTACTATCACAATTAGCAGCTTGCAAGTTTCACACATAGAGGGAGAGAAACAGTACCAAAAACCAAGAGACCTCTTCATAGAATCATAGAATCATAGAATATAAGGGTTGGAAGGGACCCCAGAAGGTCATCTAGTCCAACCCCCTGCTCAAAGCAGGACCAATTCCCAGTTAAATCATCCCAGCCAGGGCTTTGTCAAGCCTGACCTTAAAAACCTCTAAGGAAGGAGATTCTACCACCTCCCTAGGTAACGCATTCCAGTGTTTCACTACCCTCTTAGTGAAAAAGTTTTTCCTAATATCCAATCTAAACCTCCCCCACTGTAACTTGAGACCATTACTCCTCGTTCTGTCATCTCCTACCATTGAGAACAGTCTAGAGCCATCCTCTTTGGAACCCCCTTTCAGGTAGTTGAAAACAGCTATCAAATCCCCCCTCATTCTTCTCTTCTGCAGGCTAAACAATCCCAGCTCCCTCAGCCTCTCCTCATAACTCATATGTTCCAGACCCCTAATCATTTTTGTTGCCCTTCGCTGGACTCTCTCCAATTTATCCACATCCTTCTTGAAGTGTGGGGCCCAAAACTGGACACAGTACTCCAGATGAGGCCTCACCAATGTCGAATAGAGGGGAACGATCACGTCCCTCGATCTGCTCGCTATGCCCCTACTTATACATCCCAAAATGCCATTGGCCTTCTTGGCAACAAGGGCACACTGCTGACTCATATCCAGCTTCTCGTCCACTGTCACCCCTAGGTCCTTTTCCGCAGAACTGCTGCCTAGACATTCGGTCCCTAGTCTGTAGCTGTGCATTGGGTTCTTCCGTCCTAAGTGCAGGACCCTGCACTTATCCTTATTGAACCTCATCAGATTTCTTTTGGCCCAATCCTCCAATTTGTCTAGGTCCTTCTGTATCCTATCCCTCCCCTCCAGCGTATCTACCACTCCTCCCAGTTTAGTATCATCCGCAAATTTGCTGAGAGTGCAATCCACACCATCCTCCAGATCATTTATGAAGATATTGAACAAAACCGGCCCCAGGACCGACCCTTGGGGCACACCACTTGATACCGGCTGCCAACTAGACATGGAGCCATTGATCACTACCCGTTGAGCCCGACAATCTAGCCAGCTTTCTACCCACCTTGTAGTGCATTCATCCAGCCCATACTTCCTTAACTTGCTGACAAGAATACTGTGGGAGACCGTGTCAAAAGCTTTGCTAAAGTCAAGAAACTTTAAAGTCTTTAAAGTCAAGTCTTAATTAGTAATACCCTGGAATTTAAACTCTGGGGAATCAAACTCATTTGTGATTTTAATACAGAACTTCTTTAATATGATCCAACATAATCCCCCTTTTGACACTAAGATTTATAATTGTCAGTGTCACTTTCTATGTAGCCTATTCAAGAGAAAGTACTGTGAGGCAATTTGAGTTTGTGATTCCAATTCATGCCACATACATGATCCTAGTGATGTATCTTTACTACAAGGTTCTGGGGCAACAGGCAAGGTGAGGCACACCCACTTTTGAGGAGTCCATTCGGTACAACCTCTAGTGTCCAATAGCTTCCCTCCCTCCCCAGCCCACTGGCTCAAGGTCCAGGGTAGCCAAAAGGATCCCATGTGTAATATGGGGAGTGGGTTAACCTTCAATACCTTTGCCTCCAGCGACTGTTGGTGTGCAATTTTGACAACAATTTCTCCCATTAACAAGTCTGGTTTACAGTACTGGAAACATATTGCATCCATTCATATTGATAAGTGTCAAACAATGATCTTTCTTTTTTTTAACAAATGCATCAAACCCTTAATATTTCCCAATATGACCCAGAACATTTTGTGTTCCAAAGTAGCTAGTGCAAGTATCTGCATTTCAGTGCATCCCATAGCTATGGCTGTGTAGCTTCCTATTTCTAATATTTTTTTTTTCTTATGGATAAGCCATGTGGTAGTATTAAGCCATTACTAAAGATTCCATCGGCCTTTTAGGTTACCCAGACCAATTTGGACCAAGTCTACATTGGCATGTACTTGTTTTTGTATCAGGCTGTCCTGTAGCTGGGACAGAAAGCTTAATTTATTTTTAAGTTCCTGCAGGTCTTCAGTATTTTTTTTTTTAAACACACAACAGTGCTAGCAACAAGACAAAACACAAGACAAAACATAGAACACAGAACACAATTTCTATTGTGACAGTAGATTCATGGTATTGGGTTGCTTTTCAGCTGGCATCAGCTTTTCCTGATTTTCTGAAAGACAAAAAGAACATGTTTCTACCCCTTTTGGGGTGGCAGATTATTGCTTAAAATGTTTCTTTTACAAATACCCTTGCTGATTGCAGGCAAAACAGAGAAATTGCCCCCATATTTTCCTGTTTTTGTTCTATAGGCAGGCCAGGTTTCAATGGCTTTTATCTTTTAAGGGTTATGGGGAAATTATCCCACTGTTTAGTCATTAAATCCCTGAGTTTTCCTTCTTATACAGCAGACCAAGTTTATAATGTTTTTCCTGCTGTGTTAAGCTTTAAGTTTTATTTACAGGTAATAACTGAGAAGCATCATTACCATACGACCTTAAAGGATTTTTCCAAAAATCATACACACTATACGTTGTTACAGGGATACTTATTATCATTAAATTTATTAAAATTATCTTGTTATCCCATGCCTTTTATTTAGACAATTTGTTTGCTGACCAGGTATGTCCTTTATCTGCAGCTCCTTTGTGCTGCTAGTTCTTTCCTTCATCATTTAGGTAATTTGCATTTTCACAGAAACTTCCTGCTTTTGGATTTAAAGCCATCAGCAGCTCAGAGAGTCTATCTTAAAAGGGACACAATCAACTTTCACCAGAGTTTTGATTACTTTTAACTTCTGCTTCCAAAACACACAGCAATCTGAAAAAGAAAACCCAACCTATTGTGGCTCCCTTTGGAGCCCTAATAGCATTTTAATGAAGTAGCATGGTATGTTTGCATTTCTTTTGCCCCTTCTACAATATACCCTGCACATGTTCTGGGGCAAATGCACATTCCTTCCATAGTTTAACTTCTATAACATTATCCAGATCCATTTTTACATAAGGTGTCACTATTTCTCTTTTTGCTTACAGAGTTTTCATGTACCTTTATCAAAGTGACAGTCTGATTACTCAGAGCCATTTTAAGACTCCTGCCCAAGCCCTGATCACCCTTCCGCCCTCTGAATCCCTCAGTCCCAGTCTAGAACACACTCCTGCACCCCAAACCCCTCATCCCCCAGCTTGGAGCCCTAACCCCCCACACACACACCCTACCGTCCATGCCCCAGTCCAGAGCTCCCTCCCACACCCTGAACTCCTCGTTTCTGGCCCCACCGTGGAGCCTGCACCCTCAGCCAGAGCCCTCACCTGCTCCCGTACCCCAACCCCAATTTTGGGAGCATTCATGGCCCGGTGTACAATTTCCATAGCCAGATGTGGCCCTTGGGCCAAAAAGTTTTCCCAACCCTAGCCTGGAGTGTTCAGAATATGTGCTGATGCACGAGGAGGCTGTTTGTAGCTGGGCTCTGAGGAGATCTGTCTGCAAGAAACTCCTAAAGCAAAAGGTTTTGTATTCCTAGAATAAACAATGTTTATACCAAAAAGCAGAGCCTTTCGATTAAGGGTGTAACAATGGCATGGAGACACGCCTTACTGTTTGACTAGTGTAATTCATAAAGTCCAAGTGGCTGAGAACTTAAAAATTGGACAGTAACAGACCACACATTGACATTCTGAACAAAAATTGCTCTCAGCCAGGCTTGTAGTTGTTTCCATTGCTTCACACTGACTCAGCAGAAGTTCTAGGCTTCAGTGTGAGACACAGCCAGAGGCAATCCTGGAATCTTACACTTAACTATAAAACACATCTAGGTAAGATGTGTTTTATAGTTATTTATTTATATCCTATTTGCCATATTCAGAAATGAACTTATCTCTAAATTGTGTTGTAGTATAAAAATACATAGCATATTGGAATACATTTTCCACATATTGCAATTTCATTTACTTTAAGACTTTATAAAAATGGACATATTGAGTTATCCAAGTATGTGTACAAACTGCTTACATATGTGCACACACACGCACACACACACGTACGTCAATCAGTGGTGGACGATAAAACCTGCCAAGCTGCAGCATAACCCCCAGAGTCAAACCACCTTAAGGAAACACCTAAATACTCGCATGCTTAAAGTTACACATGTTTAATTACGTTGCTGAGTTGGGGACTAAGCACAGGAGTAAGCACTTGCAGGATCAGGCCCTTAATTTTATGTTTGGAAAACTTATTGAAAGCAGTCACCTCTAAAGTGACTTGTATTCCTTATTGCACCTTAGTCATAGTGTGTTTGTCTTCTTTTTCATTCAAGCAATGAATAACTTAAAGAGCCACAACCCTATTAGTGTATATCCGAATCACAAAACATTTCTTTTGCCTCCCATATTTGCAGCTGCCCCTAAGTGCTCAGCATTATTTGAGATTACTAACTTAAATCTCCTTTCCTGGATTTCTCAGTTTAGTGCTCCTTACTTGCGCTCCTTGCATTAGTATAAAGTAGAATAAGGAGACACTAATATATTGCTCCTTAAAGATTAGGTAAAGGGGTTGGGGTGGGGAATGTCTAAACAACATGACTGTCACCTACCATTTTTTATAATTTGTTTTTGTGATGTCCTCTTTCTTTTATATAACATGTGTTGAATTGGAGCACTTACTGAAATACTAAAATAGCCGTTCTGCTGCTTCAGTGGGGTTTCAACCAATCAGGCTTATTTGTCTCTTCTTTTTTTTTTCCCACCCACCCTGCCCCCAGTGGTGAAAAAAGTGGCAGAATTTGAACTTCCCTACGTGAGTCTTCAGAGTATGAAAGAGTCAGACTGTACGATTGGGATCAGAAAATGGTGAGCTGGAAGCTGAAGAGAAATTTGGAAGATGCATTAAATTTATAAATGTACTAGAGAAGAGAATCCCCACAACTTAAATTCTGTGTGTTTGGCCTGAGAGCCTAACATATAAAGCTGATTTTTTTTTTTTTTTTTTTTTAAGGAATATAATGGTTCCTAACTGCTGGTCTCTGGACCGCTCAGTATAATTTTGGAACTGAGCAGTGTATATGGTCATAGAATCATAGATCATAGAATATCAGGGTTGGAAGGGACCCCAGAAGGTCATCTAGTCCAACCCCCTGGTCGAAGCAGGACCAATTCCCAGTTAAATCATCCCAGCCAGGGCTTTGTCAAGCCTGACCTTAAAAACCTCTAAGGAAGGAGATTCTACCACCTCCCTAGGTAACGCATTCCAGTGTTTCACCACCCTCATAGTGAAAAAGTTTTTCCTAATATCCAATCTAAACCTCCCCCACTGCAACTTGAGACCATTACTCCTCGTTCTGTCATCTGCTACCATTGAGAACAGTCTAGAGCCATCCTCTTTGGAACCTCCTTTCAGGTAGTTGAAAGCAGCTATCAAATCCCCCCTCATTCTTCTCTTCTGCAGACTAAACAATCCCAGCTCCCTCAGCCTCTCCTCATAAGTCATATGTTCCAGACCCCTAATCATTTTTGTTGCCCTTCGCTGGACTCTCTCCAATTTATCCACATCCTTCTTGTAGTGTGGGGCGCAAAACTGGACACAGTACTCCAGATGAGGCCTCACCAATGTCGAATAGAGGGGAACGATCACGTCCCTCGATCTGCTCGCTATGCCCCTACTTATACATCCCAAAATGCCATTGGCCTTCTTGGCAACAAGGGCATGCTGCTGACTCATATCCAGCTTCTCATCCACTGTCACCCCTAGGTCCTTTTCCGCAGAACTGCTGCCTAGCCATTCGGCCCCTAGTCTGTAGCTGTGCATTGGATTCTTCCGTCCTAAGTGCAGGACTCTGCACTTATCCTTATTGAACCTCATCAGATTTCTTTTGGCCCAATCCTCCAATTTGTCTAGGTCCTTCTGTATCCTATTCCTCCCCTCCAGTGTATCTACCACTCCTCCCAGTTTAGTATCATCCGCAAATTTGCTGAGAGTGCAATCCACACCATCCTCCAGATCATTTATGAAGATATTGAACAAAACCGGCCCCAGAACCGACCCCTGGGGCACTCCACTTGACACCAGCTGCCAACTAGACATGGAGCCATTGATCACTACCCGTTGAGCCCGACAATCTAACCAGCTTTCTACCCACCTTATAGTGCATTCATCCAGCCCATACTTCCTTAACTTGCTGACAAGAATACTGTGGGAGACCGTGTCAAAAGCTTTGCTAAAGTCAAGAAACAATACATCCACTGCTTTCCCTTCATCCACAGAACCAGTAATCTCATCATAAAAGGCGATTAGATTAGTCAGGCATGACCTTCCCTTGGTGAATCCATGCTGGCTGTTCCTGATCACTTTCCTCTCATGTAAGTGCTTCAGGATTGATTCTTTGAGGACCTGCTCCATGATTTTTCCAGGGACTGAGGTGAGGCTGACTGGCCTGTAGTTCCCAGGATCCTCCTTCTTCCCTTTTTTAAAGATGGGCACTACATTAGCCTTTTTCCAGTCATCCGGGACTTCCCCCGTTCGCCACGAGTTTTCAAAGATAATGGCCAATGGCTCTGCAATCACAGCCGCCAATTCCTTCAGCACTCTCGGATGCAACTCATCCGGCCCCATGGACTTGTGCACGTCCAACTTTTCTAAATAGTTCCTCACCACCTCAATCTCCACAGAGGGCTGGCCATCTCTTCCCCATTTTGTGATGCCCAGCGCAGCAGTCTGGGAGCTGACCTTGTTAGTGAAGACAGAGGCAAAAAAAGCATTGAGTACATTAGCTTTTTCCACATCCTCTGTCACTAGGTTGCCTCCCTCATTCAGTAAGGGGCCCACACTTTCCTTGGCTTTCTTCTTGTTGCCAACATACCTGAAGAAACCCTTCTTGTTACTCTTGACATCTCTTGCTAGCTGCAGCTCCAGGTGCGATTTGGCCCTCCTGATATCATTCCTACATGCCCGAGCAATATTTTTATAATCTTCCCTGGTCATATGTCCAACCTTCCACATCTTGTAAGCTTCTTTTTTATGTTTAAGATCCGCTAGGATTTCACCATTAAGCCAAGCTGGTCGCCTGCCATATTTACTATTCTTTCGACTCATCGGGATGGTTTGTCCCTGTAACCTCAACAGGGATTCCTTGAAATACAGCCAGCTCTCCTGGACTCCTTTCCCCTTCAAGTTAGTCCCCCAGGGGATCCTGGCCATCCGTTCCCTGAGGGAGTCGAAGTCTGCTTTCCTGAAGTCCAGGGTCCGTATCCTGCTGCTTACCTTTCTTCCCTGCGTCAGGATCCTGAACTCAACCAACTCATGGTCACTGCCTCCCAGATTCCCATCCACTTTTGCTTCCCCCAATTCTACCCGGTTTGTGAGCAGCAGGTCAAGAAAAGCGCCCCCCCTAGTTGGCTCCTCTAGCACTTGCGCCAGGAAATTGTCCCCTACGCTTTCCAAAAACTTCCTGGATTGTCTATGCACTGCTGTATTGCTCTCCCAGCAGATATCAGGAAAATTAAAGTCACCCATGAGACTTTAACAGTTGTTGATGGAATGTTCACTACTGCGATCAGCCAATTACTCTTGAACACTTTCAAAATCTATAGATTCAGGTGTGTTCTGTGGTTTGTTGGTTGGTTGTTTGTTTTTTTGCCAAAGCCACCAATAAAGGAAACCTTTTATACTTATTTTCTTTGCTTTAGTTAATGTTTGTTTTTGTTTTGTTTTGTTTTTATATGAGGCATTGTATCTTCTAAAAGAAAAATGGAAGGGGCGGGGGTTCTGAGCTGCAAGTTGCAGTGTGTGCAGGAGATAGAGGGGTTGTTTTTGGAGATTTTCTTTAAAGATCTCATTGATAAATATTAGATCACAAAAGACCTGAATTATAGCAGTGCCATTATGCTTAAGTGTCTGTCACTAAGCTATATAAAAATACTTTCAGACACTTGTAACTTGTCAATTTTAAATTTAACTGGACTGAAGCTTGGCATACCTAAGCCCTTCTGTTAAATTCTCCAGTTTATAAGGGCTTACCTACGTGAGGAAATTTAGTAGCAGAACTATACCAGCAGGGCCGTCCTTACCCATATGCAAACTATGCAGCTGCGTAGGGCACCAGGATATTTGGGCCACCAAATTTTCTGGTGCCTTGTGCAGCTGTGTGCCGCTCCAGCCCCTGTTCTACCTCTTCCCATCCCGCCCCAGCCCCGCCTCTTTCCACCCATGCTCTGCCTCAGCCCCACCCCCACTCCCTTGAGGAATGCAGCAGGGCTGGGCCTGCACTCACCGGCGGCAGGAAGTGCAGCGACCTGGCTCCAGCCGCACCGGCAGCGAGTGCTGGGGGGTGGTTTCCCCCCAAGCCAGCCCTGCCCCCCCCCCGTGGAGGCCTGGAACCCCCCCCCCCCCGCAGAGCCCAGGGGCCAGCCCCCCCTGCTCCCCTCCCCTCCCCCGCATAGGCTGCCTCCCCGCCACGTGGGGGGGGAGGCTGCGTAGGGCCCCAGAATTGCTAGGGACGGCCCTGTATACCAGTACAGTTATACTGCTATAACTTCCTGTGTGGACACTTTTATTCCAGTCTGAGTACCTTTTTGTGGTTTAGCGTATGTGTATTTGGAAGTAGCGTAAACTAAATCACAAAAAGGCACTCAGACTGGAATAAGTGTGTCCACACAGGAAGTTATAGCAGTATAACTGTACTGGTATAGTTCTGCCACTAAACTTCCCCATGTAGGTAAGCCCTAGGTTTTAGACACATGCAAGAGAAATATTTAATGGAGTTTTTTAACACTTGGATTCTAAATCATTGTTTTCCATATTACTGTGATAATAGCAGATGAGCAATTTAATTTATTTCATACCGCAGTCTATTTGCTACAATGCTGTAAAGAGTAATTTTTTTACATACTTGACAGATGTGTAATTTCAAAGGTGTGACGTATTGCTGTCTTTTATTACTTCATGAGTAATGGGATCTTTCTGTGTCTATTACTGTTCGGTTGTACTCCCAAGTGCATATTTATTGCTGAATGGAAATGCTAATTGTTGTGCTTAGAAATGTAACTTTTAATATTTTTGCATTTGTCAGGTATATGGATCCCTCTCTTGATAACATGTTAATGGACTGTAGAGCTTCAGTGAACTTACTCTATATGCAGGTAACAAAAGAAGAAAACTCCTGATACTTCTAAAAGCTAATTGCCAAAATGTGTCTCCCATTCTAATAATGTACGCACTATGTTTTTAAATAGTGCAAGTTATCTGAATATTAAGTATGGACAGGTACTTCTATCTTGTATTTTTCTTTTTTTTATGATTTAAAAACAAAAGAAATAACTATGGATGAACTTGTTCTATGAGAATTTTTCATGTACAAATAACACTGTCTAGTTTGCAAATTCTGTTTAGTGTAAGTAATTATTCCATGCATAAAGGGGATGTATTTAGATCCTGGTCCGTTTGCTTCTCATGACAATATACGTCAGTGCTATTGTGTGCTAGTGGTTTAAGGCTGAGATTACACTTCCATACTGAATACTACCTCTACGTACCGTTTTCTCCAAAAAATATTATCGGTTAAGGATTAAAATGTCTCCTAGTAGTTATTTTGGAAGATTTCATAAAACTCCAGTAGGCTTCTTCTGTTTTATCTGAAGGTAGAAAAAAATAAATATCCATAATAACTTTTACACTCCTCCTTTCTCTATTGAGAACTCAACTCAAAAGGCTTCAAACCTGGCACGTGCATAGTCTTAATCGATCTCTGTTAGCAAATTTCATGGTTGTAATTCACCCTCTGTGCAGCTTCACCTGTGATAGTATTGGTGGAGACTGTAGTGTAGACAGGGCTCCAGTGTCCTTACCACTATATTGTGCTGGGAGGTCCTTCAGTGTCATGATTAATTACCATTTTTGCTTGCTCATTTTATTTTTAAAATTGGTAGTTGTGACCTATCAATGAATGAGTTGTTACATTTCCTCTGTGTACTGGAACCATATTCTGAACAAGTAAACCAGCAGGTTGACAGAGTAACAATAGATACCGCTTTTCATAGCCAGAGGTCAGGGGCTTGCAGGTATGTTGGGCAACGCGGAATTGGAAACCATTTTGGTGCAGGGACTGAGGGTTGAATAAATTAAAAGTTGTGTGAAGCTGTCCAAAATTCTGAGCACGTGTTTTAAAAGATGTTGGGATATCTTCCCCACACGCACAGTAAAGAGCAGATAGAAATACTCTCTCTCCCCCATCCCTTTTTTTTTTTTTTTTAGTTAAAATTTACTAACTTTTCTAAATAAGGCACTACAGGAAATTGAGAAGAATTGGGTCAAACCCACAGATGGACAGTTGCAGAAACTGGAATTGCTACAAAAAGCAGCAAACAAAATGAAGGTAAAGTGCTCTTTTAAAATGATATAAATCTATTGAAAGAATATATTTCAGGATGAAGACCCTTGAGGCTGCAGCCCCCACATATATTTAATTTGGTTTTTCTCTAAAAAGTGACTCTGTAAAAATGGCATCATAATGTTCTGTATTTATCCCTTCTCTCTCTCTCCCTGTGTGACTTTCAGACCCATTTTACAGATAAACTGAGCCACAGAGACACCAGATGACTAGAGCTGGGTGAATAATGGATTTTTTTGGTTCACTGCAATTCCAAAAAATTGAAGAAAATTTTTTGGGTTAAACATTTAATTCACTCCAAAACAAAATGTTTCATTTATGAGCATTATTAAACACTATTAATGTTTAATAAAAGTGAAGGAAATTTCTAAACAAAGTTTTTCTGAAGCAAAAAAAATGAGTTTAATTTAAAAAATGTCAGAATAAAACATTTCCATTGTTTCAGATGGGGAGGGGGTTTGACTGAAACAATTTGGTGAATTTTACACCAATTCACAAGATGGCTTGATGTTGCCGAATCTGCATTTTTAGCGAAAAAAAAAAATTCAGTTGGAAAAACTTTTCTAGGTCTATAGGTGACTTAAAGGCCACAGTGACTTGGTAGAGCTGGGATTAGAAATCGGGTCTTGGTTCTTTGTGCCTTGCTTAGTTACTAGATCACAACTGCCTCTGTACAGAAGATCATGTAGAACACTATTTTTCATCACTTTCTGATTCTGTGTTTCTGGTGCAGTTTCTAGAGCTGGTTCAGGAAGTGCAGCACTATGGATACATACAGCTTGATCCCTGCACCTGTGACTATCCAGAAGTAGGCTGTTCTGCTGCTGTTCATGTAGGAAATAATGAGATCAGCTGCTGCATAAAGTTACCTAGTAACCAGACCAAAGAAGTCAGCTTCAAGATCAACAGGGTGAGGTGCTGGCAGGTCACTTTTCTAGTAAGTACCTTGTTGACATTGCACCTCTCCAAATATTTCAACACATTTAATTCAAAATGACTTTTTTCCTATGTGAGATTAAGGCTGTCAGGGAGCTGGTCAGAGCTCCCTCATTCTCAGATACCTTGCCCCGGCGTACGTACCTTCAGCTGTCTTCCTTTAAGCTAGAAGGTGGAGTGGAACAGCGGGACTGGCACGAGGTAGCAGAGCCACCTGAGTCAACTTTATGTTCCCGGAGATTTCACCCTTCGCAGGGGGACTCAGTACAGATCTCCATCTGCTTCAAATTCACTTTTGCCCTGTAAGCCACACAAACTGAACCTGGCTGACTGGAGAGTCCAGCCCTGATTCTGAGTTAATACCTCTCTGTGGTAGTTTCTTCTCTTCCTCTTCAGGGCGCTATTACACAGCCAAAAGACCAAGGACACGAGGAGACCCTAGAGCTCAGGTTTGAGTACAATGATTCGGGCTCATGGAGATGGATCGTCTTTTACACAAAACAGGTTAGCATCAGGGCAGTAAAGAAAAAGGCCTTTGGTGAGATGTAGGCTGCTAGCCAATGGAGCTGGAATTTACTCTTCAGTGCTTGTGTGGCTCCTATAACTGGACAACTGCTGTGTCTCTGCCCGTTCAGTCTAACGACAGACTTACATGGGAGCTCAAATACTTCTCCCCAGAGAGAGGGTTGAGGTTGGCAAGAGAAATTGCCCTGCACTGGGCTGCAAGCCTGGCATGGTGTGCAGAGGTGTTTCTCTTCTTTTTTTTATTTACTAGCCCAGTGGATAGTCACAAATGTTAATGTGGTGGAAACGCTTAATGACTAGACCCATCTTCCACGTGGTAGATGATGCACATGAATATTCCACTCAAGACTATGTTAAATACAAAATAGGTATATGGTAGATATAAATCTACACCAGCATATTGTAAATCATAACAATTTTTAAAAATCCCTTTTTCCACAGTATTTCAATAGTGTCCCACCCTACCCATCAGGTCTCTGGTTCAAAGAAAAAGGTGTTCAGAAAGAGAAGTAGCCAATATACAGTTATGCACTACAGCTGCAAAACTCAGAGCTGGATATGAAAGAATCCAGATTTTGCCGGGGGGGTGTTGAATCTGGGGGTCTTGGTACGGCCCATCCCTAGTACTTGGCTTTTAAAAAAAAAAAGGGGGGGACAAAGGGAATGTGGTGTGTTCTTCTTTCTCCTCCTCTCTCCTCCCTTTCCTTCCCCCCCACCCCAAACCTGCCAAAATTAATAGCAGTTAAGAACTTACAAGTGAAATCAGAATGCTTAATTTTTCACGCATTATTTCTGCATTCCAATATGACTCTGTATTGTCCACCCACTTATGTAGCAGCTCATTATTTTGCTGCTACTCAGAGTTTTAAAAGAACATGAATCATCCCCATATTCACAAGCCAAGAGGCTTACCACTTTGGTCGCTGTTATGGGAAGAGAGCAGCCAAACTGAAATTCCCTCATTGTTAATTTTCCTCCTGAATTTGTTAACTAGAGCTGCCCCTAGGCTCCTGTAAGTAGGAAAACTGCTTCCCTTTCTTCAAAAGTGAGAAGAAGAAAATATAGCCTGAAAAGGTGCTGGGAGGACCCCAGGGCTTGATCTAAAGCCCACTGAAGTCAATGGAAAGACTCCCATAGACTTTGATGGGCTTAGCATCTGGCCCCAATAGAACTGGTGGTGCTGCCATGCCCACTGCTTTAAGTTCACACTACCACTGTAACCATGCAGTGCGCAATGGCGGTGAGACTGGCTTCACGCAATTGCAACACACTGTCAACATTTGCATTGTTGCAACAACTTTTGCATGTAGACACAAGGGAATCTGAAGGTGCTGAGCACTTGCCGCTCCCATTTATTTCTGTTGAAGTTTTGAGTTCTCAGCACTTCTGAAACTCGAGTCTAAGGTATATTAGAAGTATGGTCGATACTTAATTTGGTATTGTCATTACCAGTGCAATTTGCCTAAACCAGCCTTTAATGTAGTTCAGCTGCCTTAGCGGCACAAAATGGGAGTAATTATAAGAGAATAACTTGCGGTACAGAACCCACAATAAAGACACCGACCCTACATTTTCTAAGTGGTGGTGTCCGGGTTTAGTCACAGTGAGATTGGATTACAACTAATTCGATGATCATAAATGTTTTAAACACATGGTAAAATTAACCAGATTAGGTAAGAAATAGTTCAGTAGTTACCAGGAAAAGTGGAAGGGGAAATAAGGTTGAGTAAATCTTTAACAAAAGAAACTAGAATATATTCTGTTTATCTATGTAGGCATTTCTACTGAGTAGCTGCTTAAAAAAGATAATATCAGAACAGTTGATGAAGACAACCAAAGGAGACAAAGAAATGGTGAGCAAAGCTATCTATCTGCATCTCTTGGTGCCTAAATATATGGCAGCTGACCAGTGACTCTCATTTGTCTATGCTAGGGAATTTTTATGGGAATGAAATTCCCATTGCTGCTACCATCAATTCAGCTGCATCAGTGGCATCCACAGTGTAGAAAAGGCTCTTGCAGTTTCCAGTATTTTTACTGTAGATGGAATTGACAAGGTGGTGGAAATGTCACAAAAAATATTGTAAAAAGAAAAGGACTTGTGGCACCTTCATCCGATGAAGTGAGCTATAGCTCACGAAAGCTGATGCTCAAATAAATTGGTTAGTCTCTAAGGTGCCACAAGTACTCCTTTTCTTTTTGCGAATACAGACTAACACAGTTGCTACTCTGAAACCTGTCAAAACATATTGTGTGATCTGGATTTCAAAGATGACCTTTTATTGTAATGGTGTTTAATATTAGTCTTTCTCCATCCCCCTCTAGCTTTTAACTTTTATCACATATGACAAAGCACACTTATCTTTTAACTCTTGTATATCTCCCTTCACTTGCTGGATTCAGGTCCTGTCTGAATTTTTGTTTTCTGCTAAGACATTTTGTTCACCATGTTTGCAGTGATCAGTCTGAATTTTTGAAAAATTCACACTGAGACAGAGAGGGCCTTTTTTTAAAAAGAGAGAAATTTAGTAAACTTAAAAAGTGAAAAGACTACTAGTCAGTTCCCTGTTACCGTTGAATGTCTCTTTAAATTTAAAAAGGAACTTCTTTTATAGGTGTTAGATTTATTAATAATATTTGTAATTATTAATATGGGATAGCACCAAAAACCAAAGGCCAAACGGTAATTGATGCAGTTGCTATAAAGATGCCTAAAAGCCTAACTAATAAGCAATTTACTACATCCAAACAGTAACAAAACATTTATAAGCATATGATTAAGATATTTTCAAATGGGCTAAACCCAGGAGTGATTAGACCCATATTGGTTGGCTCCAATGTGGTCAGGCAGGTATTAGCAATGAATCCTTTAAGAGTTTACTGTTTATATCCTTTAACAAACAAGTGATGTCCTTGCCATTACTGACTTCTCCTAAAAACAAATTTGAGACACTTCACCCTTATTTCCAGTCTTAATCCAGATAAGAATTACAGCCTTCTTTCTTCCCAAGGCCTTTCCTTTCTTATCTTGTCTCCGCATTTCTTGCTTACCGGCAACGATGGGAAGGTTGGGGCTTATTTCTTTTAAGACAGTTTTTCTTTGTCTTGTTACTGGAGCTCTTTATTTTCTTAGTTACTTTTGGAACCATACATCCTTCCCACACTACAGCTAATACTACTTATTCTCATGGACTTCTTTTACTTGCTGATTCTGGCCTTCTTTACAGCACATATACATATCCTTGACCAAATTAATCTTTAATTTTATACTTATCCCACAAGACGTGTTTCTGTGGCGGTCTTAGCTATAGTGACTGAGTGATAAATGTCAATACCTTTGCTGACTTCCTGAAATTTAACGGTATTGTAGAACAGCTGTTATGTTCAATTCTTTTTCTTTAAGAAGTGACAGGAAGAGAATGCATGTGTGCTGCTGGGTTAGTACTTGGATTATGATATCACCATGCTCATTAAAATGGACAGGAAGGCAACAAATGACTTCTGTGTTCCGTTTTAAGCAATTAATAATTAAACATTGGGTAATTGGAGATGGAGACCAATTTTGAAACTGATTTAATCTTTAAGCCCTAAATTATTTGTAGTAGAGATATGCTAACATTTTAAATGTTGCAGTGATGGCTAATTTTCAGCTGCTGCTGGTACTACTATTTAGAAGCTTTGGTGACTTTGAACCAGATTAAGAAAGTGTCAATAAATGAACTAATGCCTGCTCCTGCTCCCATTGGATTCAATGGAAACTGGGCCAGGCCCAATGTGGTGTCTGTATACTTGCTTTCTTTGAGTTTACTGTGTTTTAAATTTAATTACTCTGTGTAGCAGATTGAGATGCCTGAGTCCCTGAAGAGTAAAAAATCCAGCGTCCAACAAAGTCAGGTCAGTGACTGAGTGACATACCGGAGTAGAATCCAGACTGAGGCCAGGTCTACACTACAGACTTATATCAGTATAACTACGTTGCTCAGGGGTGTGAAAAATCCACCCTTCTCCTGTTGACATAGCTCCCGCCTCTCGGAGAGGTGGATTAACTACGCCAACAGGAGAAGTTCTCGCTTTGGCATAGGAGCATCTTCACTAAAGTGCTACAGCAGCACAGCACAGAGAAGACAAGCCCTGAGTAGTTGTCATCTCTGCCTTGGGGTGCCCGTTGTTGTGCTTTGCTGCTGTAGCCTCCAACCTGGACTGCTCACAAATAGCCTCCAGCATGTAAGTCACTCCCAGCTCTGGCTGTGTGTTCTGCAGCCAGCCAGCCACACCTTGGCTCTTAGTAGCTATAGTTATGCTGCAGGGTGACCCGAACAATTCCCCAGTGCAAGATCTTCCCTCCAAAACGTAGGTCTTGTACTGCCCAGCCCCCTCCTGGATAGCACAAATATATTAAGTGTCTCATTCCTTTAAGGAAATAATATGCCAGTTTATCATTTTAAATAATTATCCAAACACTTCAACTTAAACAACTGTATTAGATAAAATAAAACAAGCTTATTCACTACAAAGAGATTTTAAGTGAGTATAAGTAATAAGGTATAAAAGTCAGAAATGGTTACAAGAAAAATAATGAGAAACTGCTTACTGGTGCCTAACTTAACAAACTATATTAGATTCAAGCAAAGTTTGTCACCATATGCTCCAGCAGATTACTGGCCAAACTCTCAGGTCAGGCCTCTCCCTTCCCACCCTAGTCCAATGGCTGTTTTCCTTTGTCGTCTGACGTGCAACCAGAGATACACCGGGAGAGAGAGAAGGGGTGTCTGCCACTTCTTTTTATAGTCCTGTCCCCCACTTTAAGTGTTTACAGCTGGGAGCAAGGTGACAGGCAGTCTGCACGGAAGGAAACTCCATGCTGTTCTTTGCTAAGATGTAGACTGGTTGTGGGTGTCTCCAACTTCATAACATATTTCAGTAACATACATATAGCAAAACTTCATAATTCCACATACAATGACTGCACATACAGTTTAAGACTTTTTAAAAGATACCTCACAAGACATACTTTGTACAAAACATATCATTATATCACCATGGTAAATATGAGGGTTTCAGGGTATTGCTTTCGGGTACAGAGTGTCACACCCACATGTCTAACTTTAAGCATGTGACTATTCCCACTAACTTCAATAAAATTGCTCACATACTAAAGTTAAGCACAGACTTGTAAGTATTTGCTGGATTGGGACATTATTATTCAGGCATAACACCAATAAAAAGCAGCCCCAAATGTCCCAATTTGTCCCATCTTTAGAGCATTGAAACAAACATTGCTCCAATGATTAAAACTCATTTACAGTAGTTTCCTGCTCCAATGAGCAATTGTCTCCTAAATGCCGACCTAGAAGTGCCATACACTGCATCAGTAAAATAGGATAATGTCTGATAAACTTTTTTTTAGTTGCATTAATGTTCATACTTATCTCTGAATGTCTGTTGGTTTTTGTGGTTACTGTAATTTGTGTGCTCTTACTGTATTTAACTGTGTATTTGTTTCTCTGCAGATAGCTCACTCTGGTTTTATACCAAGAAAAAGGATTTTGGTTAGACCAAATAAAGAGGACGGTGTTTTTGAGAAGATAAGAGAGGAAGATCTGTGATAGATTCTTTAGAACTGCCTATAAAAATATGTTGCAAAGTATCAATTATATTAAAATAGTCTTCAATTTAACAATATCTTACACATTTTTCTAATTCCTTGACAATTATAACATTCTTGATCTTGTAGTTTTAAAGATCCAGTTAACTGCTCCCTCAAGTTAGAACTTGCTACAAATTTGAAGAAAAAGTGAAGACAGGGCAACATAAAAACATCTTACATTTCTTGTGTATTTTTATAACTGAAATTAGAAATTTTTAAAATAGAAAAGTCTACTGAAATGTTAGAGCTGGAGAATTTTATTTTGCATTAAAATACAAGGTTTTATTAGTTAAGAGTTTTGGTTTAAATATTGTGACTGTGGTTGAGTGCAGCTCAGTGTTGCCATCTCTGGATTTATCTGGGAGGGCCACCCATTTCCCTTGGACACATACCTTGCCATGATCGTTTATGCTCTTCCTTATCAAGGGCAGCAAGCCTACTACAATGCCTCCATGCTCCTAACTGAGCTTCCCTTGATGCTGATCTGGAGACTGCAGTAGTTGCTGAATGCAGCTGTTAATGTACTTCCTGGCATAAGAGCAAGGGAATCAGTTATGCCTATTAACGCACACTGTGGAATCTACATTGGCTGCTGATATGCCTAAGAACATATTTAAAGGTCTTAGGACTTGTCTACACAGGGAATTCATGGGGAAGTTAGTGCAAAATAGTTAGGGTGTGAATTTAAAGCACAATAACTATTTTTCACTTGCTATTCCGGGTTTCTTTCCCTGTGTAGACAAGTCCTTTCGTGTTCATATATATAGTCCTTCAAAATGTAACCTCTAAAATGATGAGTCCATGCCCAGCGATTATGCTAAGGCTGTTCTTGGCCCCTAATTTCAGGCAGGACCAAGCTACAGGTAGAACTTTCTCAGTCGAGGCACCCTGGGTTGTAAGAACTACTGAGAGGGAGGTTCCTTGGCTGCATCTAGGGCACACTGCAGACTCTGCGAATTTCACCTGGCCAATCCTTGACCAGTTTTTGATCCCAATATTTTGCACAAGCTGGTGGGGTGGATACTATGAGGACTGTCAGGAATCCTTCTGTGCCAGCTGGCAGGAGTCTGATTGAATGCAAAATTGGGCTGGATGATTCTTCTGACCGTGCGTTTGTGTTTGTCCGTGCTTTGTAGTATGGTGTGCAGATCCTTATGATCGAACTGTTTGGTAACTCCAGTTGAAGTAATAAACTGTTGAATATTGGGCAACAGACCTCTATCTGACCTATCCAGAAAAGGGCTGGACAGTGCAGAAAAAACATTTTGGGGGAAATCACTGTGTTGGGGTGATCCTGGAAGTAGTAACCAAGGCTGGTGGAAGCCAGAGTGCGACTGGAGTGTTGCTGTCAGGCTGCTGGGATCGGAACTGCTGGACAAGTGCTGCATCTATACACAGACACTTAGGGTGTGACCTGCATGCTGTTTGTGAGCGACCCAGGTTGGGAGCTACAACAGCAAAGCATTGTGAGGCATCCAAGGTTGCAGGGCTGGCAGTGACACAACCCTTCATTGATCTGGATTATAGCCCAAAGCTTCACACTTTCACACAACAATGGGGGTGGGTGGGAAAGGCTGTTTAAACTAGGAAAATGTCTCTGTAAAAATCACAAAATTTGATAGTGGGATTTATGAACAGGACAGTACTTCACAAATGAAGTGGATGTTGATCTAGTCAGTTTTTAAAAAGGGTTAACAGTTTGAAGTGCTTTACAACACTTTCATGTTCTCAACTTTGAACTCTGCTCTGTTTCAATTTTCTGCAACTTGTGCTTTTTTTAGAAATAAACATCACTGTTTTTAGTAAATTCACATAGCTCAACACTTAACTGGACAGTTGAAAATTACAGTACATATGATACAAATTGGCTGAAAAACTTCAATAGGGAAAGATTTGTCAGGGGTATAAATGATGAGTAGCAATTACTAAACATCTATTAACTGCTTGAAATGTTCTTTTAAAGATTTAAAGTTTTCAGCTGGATCTCATACTAAACTTAAAGGTACAGGCCTACAATGAACAGTAGAACAATGCTAATAACTAAAATAGCCACCTTTTGCTTAAGCTGTGGATGGTAGCAATAATCATACCCATTATACTGTCATTCTGAAGAATGAAATCATTGCTGCTTTAAAATAATTTAAATTACCTGTAGTCCATTATTGTCTTAATAGTAACAGCTGCTACTTTTAAAAATGTACAAACATTTTTAGCAGCATGTGATGGGAAATCATTTGAATGCCAAAAAATGTTAACAATGAATAAGAAATATTGTTGGTATTAGGCTTTAACAAACATCAAGAATCAGATCAGAACCTTTGCTGTTGTTTGGTAAAAATCTCTATTATTTTCATACCTCAGGTTCCTTCTGGGGCAAGATTAGGTTCCAAGCAGTGGCTTGTATTTAACAGTTAACTAGGATAAAAGAGTCTTTATTGCCCCAGCAAACCCAAACTTTCATCTGCCCCTCAGCAATGGGAACCAGCAGGAAGGACCATTCATAGACCGAGCACTGCTTTCCACTTGTATCAACCCTCCACTATGAACAAATATACACACTTTAGTGGAGTGCCAGGCGGGCGGTGTGGCCAGAGCACCCCTACCGCCGGAGTGCCCCTAGCCCCAGCGCTGGGTGGGTGGCACATGGCTGGAGCGCCCCCAGCCCCAGAGCGCCATGTAGACAGCGCGGACGGAGCGCCCCCAGCCCCAGAGCGCCATGTAGACAGCGCGGATGGAGCGCCCCCAGCCTCAGAGCACTGGGCGGGCAGCCCAGTCCCAGCACCCCCATGGACAGGTAGCACAGCATGGTCTCAGACCCAGCCTTGTGTGCAATTGCCCCAGCCTGCATGCCTGCCCCAGCCTCTTGGCCACAGAAGAGCGGGAAGGGAACTGAAGCAGGCAAGAGAGTGTCTGGGGGCAGAGTGTGGGCGGGGCCACAACAGGCTGTTTGGGGAGGCACAGCCTTCCCCTGCCTATGCTACCTGCTGCCCATTCTCAAAATGGTCCAAGTGTTTCACTTATATCTGATGCATATATTCCCTTGATTCCTGTCAAAGTGCAAGACCAGCCATGGTAGACTGACAGTAAACATTTAGAAATGTGTTACTTTTATCATGGGGGCCTATAATAAATTCCAAACAGGGCAGAATACACTTTAACCACCACATGATGTAAAGGAAAGAATTTCAAAAGTGTCACAACTTGCTCTTATGCCCCAGCCACAGCATTTATAGACCAGCCTAACCTGTAGGTGCACACTTTTATCATGGGAATTCTGACTAAGAGGAAAGCCAAAGACTCCAGTAGATCTGTGACCGTAAGGGGAATTGCGTAACAGGTCCCTGTGAAATGGTCTGAACAAATTGTTACTCCATTGTAAGGAATCTGGACAGAAAGTTTTGTGAATAGAATAAAAGAAAACGCACTGTGAAAGAAATAATTCAAAACAAAATGAAGATCAGACTAAGTATATGTAAGATGATATAACCAGTTCTCTGTGAGGGAAAAGAATCTGTGACTGTGCAAAGAGAAACGGTAACATCACTAGCAATTAATCTTATGCACGAAACTTAGCTGGGATAGACTTTGTGTTCCTCAGGGTGCGGGAAGCTTGCGTAGCCTCTGTCCGTGCTGTACCTGTTCCGTACATAGTGAAGACTTACAGCTCCAGGGCTGTCTGTGTGGCACCATCACCAGCACTGTTTCTTTTTTCAAGTGGCCTGAGATGAACTTCTCTTTAAATGACTGAAAATTACATTCTTAAGATCATTGTTTTCAAAATAAAAATGTGCACAGCCTTATTAAGAAATGTCAGTGGAAAGTGAGAATTACCAAAAGGAGAAGCACAAAAAAAAAAGATTTCTCACTATTTTATGCTAAATTAAGGCCAAAAAATGTTGAATTATAAGTAAGGCTACGATTTTGTCATGGAGGTTTTAGAAGTCATGGAATCCATGACTTCCAAAGACCTCTGTGATTTCAGCCTCTGTGGAAGGGAGCTGTGACATATTGCCTGAGGCAGCGGGCCCCCAAGCACCCAGCTGCCGCAGGCAGGGCGGATACCATGCAGCTCCCAGCCACTACAGGGGACAGAGGGACACCCGCAGCTCCCAGCCATTGTAGCATGGCAGGGGCACCCCCACAGCCCTTGGCCACCATGGGGGAAAGGGGTGTGACGTTCCCCTGGTGTTATCGGGACTGGTGATCTGCTAGGTCACTCCAATCCTCAACTCTGGGAGCCAGCCTTATCCTGCTCTGCTGTGAGAACCCCCACTCCTGGGCTGTTCACACACAGCCTCTTACATGTAAGCTGCTCCTTGGATTGTGCAACCGAATGACATTAGCCAATATTTCCGGTCCCAAACACAACCCTCAGAACCTCCATCTTGCAATGCTCAATTATGCCCGCTGGATGCTGCAAGCTTATATGAGTTCATCAGTTGAACAAAGAAATTGATGTGCACCAGGTTTGTTATCCCAAGGGGAGTCTCTGACACACTTCAAACCAAACACACTGCTTCAGATAGAATAAACAAACACATTTATTAACTACAAAAGACAGATTTTAAGTGATTATAAGTCAAAGCATAAGAAGTCGGATTTAGTCAAATGAAACAAAAGCAAAACACATTCTAAGCTGATCTTAACACTTTCAGTGCCCTTCCAAACTTAGACTCTTCTCACTACAGGCTGGCTGGTTGCCCTTCAGCCAGGCTCTCCCCTTTGGTCAGCACTTCACTCGCTTGGTGGTGGTGTCTGTAGAGGTGGAAGAGAGAGAGTGCATGGCAAATGTCTCTCCCTTTTATCATGTTCTTTCTTCCTTCTTGGCTTTGCCCCGCCCCACCCCTTCAGGGTCAGGTGAGCATTACTTCATCGTAATCACAAACTGACCAAGGGAACGGGGATGACTCACTCGAGAGTCCAACAGATCCTTTGTTGCTGCCTAGGCCAGTGTCCTTTGTTCCTGTGAGCCTGGGCTTGGTTTGTCCCATACATGCCCTGATGAGGTGTGAACTGCCCCTCTGTTCCTGGAGAGTTTTGCCCGGGCTTGTTTTAAGCCATGAGGACACATTTGCAGCCTCAAAACTATATACATGAAATTGCAGCCGATAACATTACTATAAGATTACTGTAACACCAATGCTCAGTGCATCATGAGCCTTCCGAAGACACTCTACATGACAAACTTTGCATTGGATACCACACAATCATTGTATAACGATGAACATGGGGGTGCAGGGTGTTCCCCTGAGATACAAAGTGTCACAGGGGTACTCCAACAGCTCCCC